CAGGCTTCCCCTACTCCACGCCCCCGGGTGTTTGCACCCCCCCACGCCCCGGGGCGCAGGCAATCCCTGTCTGCCGTGGCTCCCGCGTCCCCATATTGGCCGATAAAGGGAAAAGAGCCACGTTTCTGACTGCGGGATGGACGGACGGTGACCACTGGTGCTCTGCAAGCAGTGAGCAGAGGCTGGGAGCAGCCAAAAGCCTGCTCAGAGCTGAGGTTCACAGGCTCTTGCTGTATTACATAAACAGGGCCCAAAAAATCTAAATTATTCAGGCACACCCAAGCCCTTGCAAGCAGTGGATGTCAGAAGGGAGGAAGATGAGGCAGCTTTAGTCCCTAGGGTGGCTTAGGTTGGAAGGGACCTTCCCAGATCATCCATGCAGGGACACCTTCCACCAGACCAGGAAGCTCAAAGCCCCGTCCAACCTGGCCTTGACCTGTAGAAGAGCACAAGCTTTTCTAACTTATCGGAAGCCAAAGGGCTGAATTTCCCCCCTGAAATCAAACCGCGCCGGGGCGGTGGCTGCAGCAATGCTCCTGGGCTGAAGCCCTCCCCAAGGAGATGCATTGTCCCAAAGGCCCCAGGGAGGGATGGAGGAGGTGGTCCAGGCAAGGCAGGCAGGAGGTTGAAGAGGCAATGTACAGACAGACGTCTCTCGCAAGCACGGCAGTGACACAGCCAAATGAGGCCGGCTTCAATAAAGGAGAAAAGCCTCATCCAGTGCCATCGCTGGCCACCCTCTGCTGCCTGCTCCCCTGCCAGCTCTGGGTCTTGTCTAGGATGAAAACCCTTGCAACTCCAAAACGCGTGCTGCAGGGCAGGCAGGTCTGCGTCCTGCTGGCAAGACGATCTCTGCAGGGGGGGGATGTGCTCCTGATCCCACACCCCAAAAACCACAGCAGCTTCCACGAGGCTGGGGAGTGCCAGGAGATGGCCCAGCAAGGTGGTGGCCTCTGGCATGGAGCTGCTCTCTCATGCTCTGTTGGAGGGTGTTGCAGGGGGGACCCCTCTGTCGGTGCAGGTGCTGATGTCTTGCTCCTGCCTTGGCACTAAGCACTCCCCCAGGTTGACTGTATCCCTTCCCCTTCCTTCTCCCCCATGTCTAGCACAATAGGTTCAATCTCCAACACAGGGGCACCTTCATCTCTCCTACAACAGAAGGAAAACAGGCTTTCAGTCCCCAAACATTTGCCAATGCACTTTTTTTCCCCCTGGTAACCCAGAGTTAGTTGGTAACCCAGAAGAGAGCCATGAGTCCTGAGGCTGTAACTGCAATATTCATTTATTTTTGAATAGCAAGGGCAGATGCTCAGAGACCTGGAGTCTGGGAGAAAGGAAGTAAGGAATTTTCAGGTGAAAACTTAGGACCTAAACAGGTACGGAAGAGCAGACTGTGCTACTTCTGTGTGATCTTTGGACCATCACGTGCCAAAGCCTGCAGGCACTTCCAGTGCTGCAGTGCTGCTTCAAATTTCCAGTTCTTCCAGGTGGGGGGAAAAAGCCTCGTTAGGGGCTTCTGGTGTTGGAAGGTGATTTTTGGTCATGGCTGGTCCCTGCTAGCAGACATCCCTGGGCAGAAACAGGGTGGAAGCACTAGGGTGGTGGCCACAGAGGTGATGACAGAGCCTGGTCTTCCCTCGTCTGTACCACAGCCCACCTCTGCAGGATCAGCAGCCCACTGGGGTGAGGAGGGTGCATGGGTTGGGGGTGTGTGGGTATCTGGGGGAGGCCAGGGGGGTGTGCATGAGCGTTCATGGGTGGTAGCCATGGTGGGTACAGGGGGTGCAGGCATGGGGCTGCGGATATCAGGTGGGTCCAAAAGTGTGCACAGGGGTATGGGTACAGGGCAGCTCCATGCCCTGGTGGGCTGTCCCCCTCTCTCCCCTTCTCCACCTGGACCTCCCTTTGTCTGCCCTCCTTCCTCCTGGCTGGAGGGCTGCCCTGCTGGACACAGCTTGCTCCGGAGGCCAAGGAGCAAGGATTAAGACCAGACAAGCTGGCTGAGTTTTAAACAGAGTGAAGCATTTTAAAACTCACAGGGAAATCTCCTCCATCTCTGTAAGCATCATTCCCTGCTCCTATTTGCAAGGATTCTTCAAAGCCCTTTTTATCCTCTGTTCCTCCCAGAGATGGGGGAGGGGAAAAAAAAGCAATTATAGATCCTAAGCTTCTTGGATAAACACCATTCCAGCAGCCTCTTTTCCCCCCTTCATGGACAATTTTCTCAGTGTTGTGGTTCAACAGGACCCCAAGACCCAGTGGCAGCACGCTGAGCCTGGCTCTGCATTTCAAATCCATCTTTTCTCCTGCCAGGCTGATATTAAAAAGGAAGGGAAAGGAGATGAAAAATAACCTCCATCTCAACCTGATTCTGGGGGTATTTGGAGCAAAGGCAGGTTTATTCTTCACATCTGATACTGTCTGGGCTTCAAAACAGCATTTAAATTGTCTACAAAGCAATTTTGTAAAAATCCCTTTTATTTATTCATTCACTGAGTTGGTAGTCACTTTATTTTATCTCCCCGTGGAAATGAGCTGCAAGGCACCAGAATGCTTTCCCTGGCCTAGGCAAACCTTCCGCGTGGATTTTGGAGCACATGCCGGGGAGCAGAGCAGACTTCAGTGAGGTGGAGAAGGTCAGAATTAGGGCCCAACGCTTTTCCTTCTGTTTTCTTTTTTCCATTTTGTCAGTGGCTCCAGCTTCCACACAGTCAGCAGACTTTGTCTTAGAATTTCTTGTATATATTTTTCCCCCCAAATGGCAAAAAAAAAAAAAAAAAAAAAAAGCCTGCAGAGGCTCAGCTCCAGCAGCTGATCTCCTCTCACCTCCATATCGCAGTGCTCCTCCACAGTCCGAGACTCTGTGAGCAACTGATGTGGAGTTCAACGCGCCCCATGTCTGTGTGCTGTCCCATGGGCTGTCCTTGCTGGGAGCTATAAAAACACTGCGAGAAAACAAAAAGAATTCAGTTGAAAAAATTAAATCTACACTACTTTTCCTCTGGATTTTATTTTGATTCTTCCCTGTGCAAGCAGGGCTGGCAGGGAAGTGTGACCCCTAGGCCAGCTGAGGAGGCTGGGGGGCTGCAGGGCTTCCTGCAGAAAGGGGGAACACAGTGTATTTTGCTCGGTGTTATCCCTGCTCCATTTTTGGCAGTGATTCCTTGCAAGCTTTTCACAAAGCCTGTGTGATCCCCGCAGCTGCCTGGAGCTTCAGAACAGCATTTGCCATTTGCAAGCTCGGGCAAGATGCGACCACCTATCTAGAAAGCCATTGCTGCCCAGAGCGGTCCTGGCACTGATGAGACCCAAAACTTCACAGTGCAGGGGCAGACAAATTTATCTGTAGCTTGATTCCAGAGGGGATCAGAAAAAGAGAGCATTGTGTCTCAGGAAGAATAAACATAGGCATGGCTCAGCTCTGAAATGCTGCCAAAGGGAGGTGGCACAGTGACACGAAGGGACTGCAGCAAAGCACCTCCCAAGGTATTGATGGATCCTAAACTGCTGCCGCACAATCCCTGGCTTTGTCCTTCTGCCTTCCTTGTAAGGAGCAGGACCCTCGCACACAACTGCAAATACCCCTGTTCGGCCACAGTGCCATTGCTAACATTTGCAGGCAGCAGCGGTTGGCGCCTTCTCATCTCGTACAGGTGTGGAGCACTGACCTTCAGACTTTATTCCTTGGTCCTTTAAATCCTCGGGTGGCACCTTGTCCGAAGCAAATTGTGGATGGGATCCTGGAAAGGGAGACACGCTTTATTACACATTAACAGCCCACCTCTTGCAGGATCACCAGGATGCCTTGTGAAGCATCTCAAGCTCCCTGAGTGGGAAGAGCAAGGTATCAGAGGACCAGGACAACTAATTCACCAAAACGTAATTCAAAAAATGGGTGAAATACTGGTCTGCTTTCCCATTTATTCTGCACATTTAATTTACATTCTGGAGGCCTCTCCTCTCTTTACAACCGGGTGTACGCTATTATAAAACATAATACGCCACTGGGCAGTTGCAGCAGTTTTTTTGAGCAGAAGCAGCAGTAAAAGTGTGGCCTTTCAGCAGCAAGTTCTCTTTTTGACCTGCTGCATCACACAGAATTCAAGGGATGGCTTCTTTCTGGTTTATAAGCTGTTACACTGGACAAAGCAGTGAAGTTTAAAATGTCACCGTGGCAGCTGCTTAGGGACAGACAGACCCTGACAGACGAAAGCAGACCCAACTGGCCATAGCGTGTCGCGAGCACTTTCAGGCTCCACAACTCGTTAAGAGAGCCCTGGAACGGCGACATTCACCTCATTTGAGAGGCAGAGCTGATGCCAGTGAAAGTGAGAGGGAGCCGAGGACAGAAGCAGGTTTCCCCACACGGCGCTCCAGCACAGTCACAGGCTCATCCAGTACTGCTTCCAGACTGCCAGCGTGGCACAAATGCGGCCAACTCAAAACACAAGCATCCCTTTGCTAACTGGAATAGTTCAGGAAAAACCATACTAACCTTGATGCTGAGGGACAATTAAAATTGTGGATAAAATGACACTGGGAAGGGGGTGGTGACCTTTCGACAGCTACCTTGTATCTTGTACAGGTTTTACAGCACATAGTGAGGGGGATCGCAAGGCAAGCCAGCGCTAGGCAATTCAGTTTCAACTTTTTTGTAAAGATTTTATGTAAAAAAAGCCCAAAACCCAACAGAAAAACCAGCAATGCTGCTCTGGCCTTGCAAAACCTACGATTCAGAGTAGGATGTTCACCTGCTTTATTCGTGCCTTGTCCTGTGACTGCATGGGAGCACAGACAGCTGCAGTGCAATGCACTGGCTCAGCCCCGAGTCAGCTAGGATGGCAAAGTGTTAAAAAGCAGGAATGAAATTTGAGTATTTTAGGACAGAGTTCTTCTCTTCAGCCCCTCGCCATTCTGCAATACCCTGGGAAGAGATCACGGGCAGGCAGACTGACAGGAACTTACTGCCACAGCTTTCACGACGTATGCGCTCTCCGTCCTTCTTTACGCTTTCCTCTTTTAAAAATGGCTTTTACTTTTAAACCACAGAAATCGTACCTCTTTTATCCTCAGCACAGAAACACCCTGAGCCGTGCTGCACTAGGCAGTGCAAAATGCAATTAAGATGATAGGGTCCCAGAAATTTTTGCCTGTGGAGGCCAGCAGTACAGACCTGGATTTATAGAGTCGTTTCTCTGGCACTGAGGAGCTGGGGCTGGCTGCAAGCTGACGGATCTCCATGTCCTCACTGGGCCCTATTTCCATGGGGTCCACTTGGAATTGCTCCGACGTCTCCACGCTCACATCCACCAGCATACTGGCACCCTGCTTTGTGGGAGAGCTCATGTGCTTGGGGCCACTGCAGATACAAAATTTTAAATCCTTTCTCAGTAAGCTGAGAGGAAAGGAAATGAGAAGTATTTCATGACGAAACAGGAAAGGAAATGAAAATTACTTCATGATGAAACAGGCCAAGTCCAATTTGGGTGAATTACTGCAATGGAGGCACAGAGATTTGTCTGTGTAAACCACCAGGAGGAGTCAAAAGGTTGCTGGAGAGCTGCGTGACAGGTTTGTATCAATTTCTACTGAAGTATTCAGGGCTGCTGCATTACAGCACACAGCTTTGTGCCCAAGTTCTTTTCTTCAGTCCATAAAGCGGCTTGATTCCCCAAGAGGACTGTCCTTTAGCTGATGCCATGCCACAGCCAAAGGTGACCCATAAGCTTTTGATCCCTGACTAAGGGGTCAGCAGCAGTTTCTTTCTTCCCTAAATGCCAAGCCACTTTACTAGTCCACGGCTGGGCCTGCTTGCACAGTCTTTGACCATCTCTCCCCTTTTCAGTCTGGCACACCCTGAAGCGTTCAGAGCAGAACACGTTTCAACTTTCGTTGCCAAACTTGCCCCAAACTTACAAAGCCTCCCTCTAATCTACTTGTGCTTTTGGGGAATGGGAATATTGCAAAGGGTTGGAGAGCAAAGCAGGAAACGTGCATGAAGTGACGCAGAGAGATCCGGGGCTTTGCATTTACACTTGAGATGGCAGGAAGGGAGCAGAGCCTGTGTGGAATAAATGCTAGAGATGACTTGGGAATTAAACTTATATTAATGCTACAGCATTGTTTACACATTAAGGAACGGTACAGAACAGAGTGCAGCAGGTATGCAAGGAATCCATCCCACAAAAGCTCCCCAGGCAACCTTGGGTGTTGGCAACATCAGGGGAGCTAGATGTGCTGACTCTGAGAGAAACAGCAGGGAGGGTAGAGCAGAGTGGAGACACCGTCACTAGGCTCTGTGATACCACTGCCGGGATGGGAACTTGATGGTACCAAGGAACTGATAAGCTGCATAGTCGCTACCCTGGGCCAACATGCTGTTATTTTTTGACAAAATACCATCCTTTGGGTGAACTTTGCTCATTATAATACTAAAACGCACCTCCAGTCCAAAAGCTACCCACCTTCAAGGTGTGACCACCCCTCACCGAGCTTGTGCCCTGGATTTCTCTGGTCTATACCTTTAAAAGTGTAGTGAGAGAACATTACACCAATCATAACAAAGGTGCGCATGACTAGAGACCCTCAAGCTCCACCTGAAAGATAAAAAATTGTATAAAAATGGTCTATGAGAGAAGGATGTTAGGGAAGATACCATCGATGACAAGTCATGGACCATCTTAGACTTCTGGGATCAGTCGAGGGGCTGAGCCTCTCTTCTCCCCCATAGGGGTGCCTTTGCGTAAGACTCGAACAGTCGGTTACACCGAGTGCTCCCTGGGAAACTCAGAAATCTCTGACGAGTTGCTTTTACAACTCAGTGTGCTTTACAGCCATGCTGTGTTATGCTTATTTGCAATTTGCACGTGCTTTGCAGACAGTGAATTTATCACTGGCAATCCAAAGAACTTGTGTACCTGTTGCTGCTCCAATAAACTGCACTATTATCAATCTGGTTCTTCTCTCTTCTGAACACGACCACACTCCTACATGTGGCTGTGCTCGTCTTGTCAAACGCTTCCAGACTGACAGTGCAGGGACTCCGTAACCATGACAGTTCAATTATCTCTCTAGCCACATGAGCTGTTAAGCGCTACCAGACTGATACTGGACGTGATCGGACTCCTAGAGCCACATTGGGCATCACTCAGAAGCTAAGCTCAGTCAACCCCAGCCCCTCTGATATCTGAGGACAAGAGGAATGCAATGAGGTTCATTTTCTGCCAAATTCCTCTGCCCTTTAATGCAACAGCCGGGAGCCACACGGGGAGAGAAATAAGATAGACTTCAGCGTGAAGTAAAACACTGCTGCAGAAAGACTTGCAAGTTCAGCTCTTCTTACGAGCAGCAGAAGACGTCATTTCTGAGCCTCTTAGGACATAAACTTGCTTACTCTGGAAAGGCAGTGCGACAGCAGAGAAGCACACCACCCCTACAGGGGAAAAGCAGCTGTGCTATTGCAGTTCTGCGGTTACCTTTTCACTTTCTTCGGTCTATCAAACCGAAAGTCAGCAGGATAAAGGTGAACGGTGACCAAGTGATCCTTTCTCTCCTTGCTGCTCTTGAACTTCTTCGCACAGCCTTCTACCAAGCACTTGTACTGAAAGGCAGGAATAAAAAAACCCAAAGGCATAATTGGAAAAGGCAAGCGGGGTCAGCTGGAGACAGGGATGCCCTCCCCGGACAGCTGGTCTCCAAGGGTGCCAGCCCACGCTGTGCACAGAGACTCACCATGTTTTGCTTCTCGGCCATTATCTGGAACAGCGAGTCGTGCCACTCCAAGATGTGAATATCCAAGAGATGCCCCGACGGAAAGGAGCGCTTGCAGGAGGAGCAGACGTTCCTGTGCAGCACATTGTAGTGGTGTTCATAGCCCTCCAGAGTATCGAAGACCTGGCAGCACCCAGAGTTGTGGCAACTGAATTCAGACACCCTGCGGGGAAATTGAGACATCCATGATTTAAATGAAATTAAAGCCTTAATTTAAGCTGCACACATCTCTCTAGACGATTTTATTTACTTGTGGCATTTTTTGCGAATAACACTTCAATGCAAGGCACAATGGAATGAAGATCATGATGGCGCTGGCAGCTGGAAACTGGCACCATGGCTTGAGCATCGTACAGATTATCATCCTGTGAAGCCATGCTTCAATTAAGAATAAACACTAAGCAGCAATGTCAGAAATAAGCTGTTGATCCTTAAAGTTGCAGCTGTGGGTTAAAATTTTGTGATGCTGTTTAACAGGCACCTGTAGGATAACCTCACACAATCCTCACAGTATTTTATACACAGGTTTTAAAGTAAGATGAAGATTCTCCCCCAGGCTTAGCCTTCCTAATTGAGGCTGTCCGTATCACACAGTTTTCGCACTGTTTTGACTGGGTAAATAAGAACCTGCCACATAAATCCTCTTGCTTAGCTACAATCCCAATTTTCAGACATATTACAGATGCCTTATCTGCTTTTGGGGAACTCAGTGAGATGACATCACATCCAGCAAGTACAAGAAGGCAGTATTTAGACAGAGAGGTGGC